CTCACCTTTCTTGTCTAATGCAGAAACCTGAGGTTACTCCTATTTTCTGCTTTTTATATACAGTAAATAATCCTGGATAAAATTAAAAACTCTTACAATATCAGCAATAAAGCAGCCTCCATTATCAACTGATTCCGAAATAGGCTTTTTACACTATTCATAAGAATAGCAATGTCTTGACTGGAATGTATATTTCACTAGGTAAAAATTGACTGTTATTTTTCAGTTAGACCAATGAAGAAACATTCTCCCGATTGCAACATGATAAAATACTGCCTTTTTTCCTGCTGGTTAATAAAGAAAAAATGACAGGTTGGTTTTTTTTTTTCACAGTACCATTTTCAGTTTCTATATATATGTATAAGCTGAACTTTGGGAATAGAAACAGTGTTCTTGACTTTTTAAATTGCATGTTTTTTCTCTAAATGTCAATGAGCTTTACCAATATTAACTAATGTTCTCCCTGGTACAAAGAAATTCAAATGATGTTTCAAACTTTTTGTTTGAAAATGTAGATATCCCCAGAGATCCTATTTATCTCAACCATTCACTTCATACTAATGATAATTATGCAGTATGTCTAAATACTGTTTCCTGAAGACATTTGCCATCAAGCTGATGTGCACATTACTTCAGAAGAAAAATCTTCTAAACAGAATTAATTATACTTTTTCATTTGGCTGTGTAATTTCCATGAAAACTGGTATCACTAGAGTAAAAACCATTTGGACTGCATTTGCTTTTCATGTATGAGAGATTCTGGCCCAATGTTTACAAGGCTCTCAGTATTAATTTTTACATTAATATTGTTCCAGTATCCTCACAATGAGTTCAAATCAATTCCTCACTGTTGGTGAATTTATCCTGAATTGTTTCAATTCTGTGGTGTCAGTCACCTGACTCAACAAATGAAAACAGCAAGAAAGTCTACCCCTATCACTTAACTTCCATAACTTCTTCCTAATAGCAAACCCCAAAGTCTGGCAGGCATTATTATTTACGCATGCAACCCTACCACAGGACAAAGCCACTTACTTAGCAACAAAAGTATGTCTTTAGCTTAAGCCAATGCTGCAGTCTTTTGTGAAAAGATCTTATTTCCATGCATCTCCTATTCCAAGGCTAGGTTTGGAAGCATGCATTGACTGAACAAGAAAACAAAGGAATAATATCAAAGTGATGTACTACTAGAAACTAGACCAACTTCATTTAAAAAAAAAAAAAAATAAATTTTTTTGAGACCATGGGAATCAAATCCAGGTACTTATACATAGTTTATTTCCAATTAACACAAGCAGTCACCTCCACATGACAATTTAAACCCTTTGCTACAAAATTTAATCTTGCTTAGAAAGTAGGCCACATAGTCAATTTACCAGTGCTAAACAACCTACCTGAATGCAAATTAAACCAAATTAAATGATTGCATAAGTAAAAGTCAACTTGTTTTGCACAGCCCTATAAAGGAAAATGCCACTGCTTCTTTAAATGGAAATGGGAAGCTTGTTAGCAAATTTGTAACACCTTGGGAAAATAGCATAGAAAAGTAAATGCTAAGTTTGACAAAAGAAATAAAGGCTATAAAACAGTTCTCATCACGTAATGCCATTCCTGTCAAACCTGGGGTTTTTTGGCTGATCGGTTGTTCTTAGCCCTTTTGTTCCTGAGGGACAGTTCTCATCAATAATAAACAGTTCAACAGTAAATCTGACTGATAAGCAGTGATGACTCAGTGATATCCCTAAGCATTAAACAAGGGAGAAATTAAAAAAGCAGATGAAATAGAAAAATAGATAAACACAAAAGATCTCAAGAGGTTAAGTTTTAGAGCTTTGCAAAATACTTGTATTCACATCACACGCTGTACCATGGTCAAGACTGAGAAGGGTACAGGGCAAAATAGTCAAAATTTAAAACCAGATTTGTCAAAACATGTTATTATAATTTCAAATATACATACATAAATTAATTTCTGTGGCTTTTGTTTCTGGTGTTTGTTTGGTTTGGTTGTTTGTTTTTTTTTTTTTAATTAAAAGCTCAGTATTCCTATTATGTTTAGCTGTTTTGACCATGATCTGCTTTGAAATTCTGATTTCTCATGGATCCTTGAACCCAGGTGAAATGAAGCAACTAATTGTGATTGTTGATTCATTATACATTACAACTGTATAACATGTTCAGTTGTCAGCTATGAATGCTTATGACAATGATGTGCATCTCTACTGCCAAATGCAGATCTGTTGCTGCGCTCTTGTTCTTGTGTGGGATAGTTCTCAGTTTGCAAAGTCTTTTTTTTTGGTTTTTTTTTTTAAGATGAAGAACTCTAATAAGCATCTTAAATTGCCAAAAAAAGAAAAAAAAAAATCAACAGAACTGGCTCAGACCAACACTTATCAACATAGTTTATTTAGAAAAAGTTATGAAGGGAAACTTGGAAACAAACTTAAGGCTAGAACTAATTTAGAAAATAGAAAAAACCTAAGAAGAATTATACACTTTATGGATTGCATTATCTACAGATCTGGAAAACTTTATCAGACACCTGAAAGTCAGTAACTGTATAACTTACCAAAACACAGGTCAAAAGGAGGCCTAGAGAAATGCCTGTCAGTTTTCAGAGATGCAGTGAGCTACAGAAATCTCCAAGATTCTCTGAACTCCAGAACAGCAAGTCTCACTATTTCTGACAAACTGCGAAAAGAGCAATTCTGGACAGTCACAATATCAAACCTCAACGTTTCTGAACACTGAAAAAAATAACATCCTCCACTCTTCTCTATTCCTGGCTTTCCACTCTCCCATTATTTTCACCCTTTGTTACTCTTAACTTTCTGAAAAAAAAAGTTTGGAAAAAACCTGTAATGGCCAGCTTCCAACCCCAAAGTGTCATCTCTGTCAATCTGATAAATATTTTAGTCAGTTCAGAAACAACCTGAAAGATAAGCTTTTCCTTTAATAGTGAGTATCGGTAAAGCACCTCCATGCAAAAGGGTTAGATGACTTAAGATACCACATGCCCAGTTCTGGAAAAGGCACAGAGATTAAGCATAGGACAACTTTTCACATGCCTGTTCTTCCATCAAAGAAATAATCCCTAGGATTGCTATAAAAAGCCTACATCTCAATATCCTTACTTTACAGAAGGCAAAGATTAGAAGCATATTATATGTCTTTTAAAATTTCCCCGTAACAAAAACATTAATGAGAAAGAAAAGAACTAACAGATGCCAGTAAAACCCTAAATCCTCTCTTAGCACACAAATCAAAGTTTTCAATAGCCTCAATATGACTTTTTAATCCTTCATTGGTTATGGATTCTCAGGTGGTCCTGATACATCATTCCACTAAGGCAGGTCCAAATTTATTGCATGTGTTTCTGACTGGACAGAATTCTGCCCCAATTCCTCACCTCTTATCTATTCAAAACTAAATTATGCAACTTGGTCTACAAATGGACACCATTTAATCAGACACTTCAAATATTACCACATGCCCTGAGCACACAGATGAGAGCAATGCTCCGAGAGCTACAATTGTTATAGTTCATTTCAAGGCAGTTTGCAGTTACTAATTAAACATGTTGTGTTCTGGGACATGAATTTCTGGAGATGACTACTTGTTTTCTACAGCCCCCATTACTATTTAAGTGCTGGGAAACTGTCCTAACTATCAAGACTGTATGTAACAACGTAGAGGTTCTTTAGACCAGGCAGCAACCTAAGCTTCCATAAAATTATGAAAAGGTTTTTGACATTATTTCTGGACCTTCTATACACTTTCTACCCCAAAGAAATTTCTGCAGCAATGCAACCGAAAAACAACAGCACCCAACCACTAAACGCATGTTTTTCCTCTACCAGATGCAGTATGATAGGCTCACGGTTTTACTTCAGACATAATGTTCTTTCATTATTCTTTAATAATAAAATAAACAGTAGTATTAAACATATCACCAAATAAAAACTATGTTCAACTAACATGACAGTTTATATTTTTCAGAAGAATGTTTTGAATTCACTGAAAACTTTGGGTTTATACTTGTAGTAATGCCATGCAAGTGGCCTCTCAGCTGCTCACACTTAAAATCGCATTTGGAACACAGCACTGCAGTTCTTCTCTCTTTTAACCTAGGACTCCTTGCTGCAGTCAATCAGGCAGTACATCATAAAGCAATACAACCAGTGTTTAACATAAGTAATATCTGAATTCTCAGATAAGGTCTAAGAAACGTTCTATCTGCTATATCATAGTATCTGACAAGGAGTAAGTCAGTATTGCTCCCCTCTTTTTTTTTTTTTTTAATCTTTCTGAAAAGGGGGAAACTGTACATAAACTGTGATTTGGTAGTTTGTAAATTTGGTGTCTGTACTTCGCATATATTCTCCAATATGATTGACAGTTATAAAATATTATACAAGAAAATTACCGATTTGCAACTAGAACTCCAGAAATCAACTGCCAAAGAGAAAGGCACTGTTCCTGCACAGGTAGGGGCAGATGAACTGTGACCACACAGGAAAATTGAGGGAGACTATCAGCAAGACTGCAGGACAGTGAAACTGCATAAAATCTGTGGAATACTGTATGACAGCTTTATCATAAATTACAGGAGTGACTACAACAAATGGCCAGAAGGCACTAGGACAGAAATAGCAAGCAAACAGTGGAATGCTGTTTTGCTCATGAAGCCCTCGGCACTACAGTATATTAGTTTGGTTACTTTGCTGAAAACGCATGTCCCTTTTCTTTGTCCATCAACTTTTGTTATCTTCCCTCAAAAACTTACCAATACGTTCTGGGCACAGGATTTCAGTTTTTTATTTGGAAATGTGTGCAAAATAGAGGGTGTTAAGGAAAAAAGCAGACCATAGCCTCAACACTTAATTGTAGCCCCAACACTCCACTGGATACCAGCTAACATTACACATACTTCATAACACATTTCAAACTACTTCAGATAGCCCAAATCTCTTCTCCTAACTTTGAAATATTAAATGCACTTACCCTGGGGAGATTAAATGAATAGCCACCAGCTCCACCCAACAAGCATATTTACTGGGTATCTGCAATCCAAGGACACTGCTGACTCTTCCTGGATTGTAATGGTTGTTAAGAACTTTCAAAGCAAACAAGACTCCTGCAAACAAGAAGAAACAAGAAAATTAACTCTATCCCAGCCAAAACCAGGACAATCACATAAAGAGAGAAGTACTTGTGCCCAAATAATAAAGAAATGCAAACAACTTAACTACTGAAACTGAAATACCATGCAGTTTCACAGCACTATGAAGCATACTGTTGCATGCCAGAACAACAGTTCTAAGCTGTTTTTTCAGTGATACTTTTCAGTGACTTAAAAAAAAAAAGGAAGGATAAAAATTTACATATTTGTATAACAGCCAATTCTAAGTTGCTTTTTAATATGCACTGTAGCTATTCAGGTCTTCAAAACAATACAAACATAATTTTAAAATGGGAGTTCTAGATGAAATAATAGACAAATTATTGGACTCAAAAAAATGTTCCTTGAGAAAGGCCATTACTGAAAACAAGACAAAAAGATGCATGTGAAGCTCAACAGTCATCTCAAATTCTGAATTAATGGAAAATCATCTTACATATACTCCAGAATCACTTGTTTCTGAAAAAAAAGTAGATAAATTACCTTTAATCACAATAAATAATCATTCAATTCTAATTGACTGTAACTGTTTTATCATGCAAGCAATAGCTGATATGACAGAATGAATTCACATAATTTACTGGAACTTCCGAAACGTTTTTGAAAAAGTTCCTCTCAGGAGAAAGTGCACACAGTTGTTTG